TTTGACCATTGCACATATTTGCTGTTGTTTAACCGACTGCAAGACTCTCACCTCCTCTTGTGGATGGGGTTTATCTGCAGTCCACACCTGCAGCATGGGGACATGGGTCTTTACTCTCCTCCTGAAAAATGTGGATGTAGCCAAGAATAAAAACGGCAGCAAACGATGATTGTTTAATTAAAATCTAACCAAACCGGGGAACGTACTTGAGGTAGCCTTCGATCTGGCTGAGGAGCCGGTCCATTTCCACGTCCTTCTTCTCATAGAGCTCCTTCCCGACCCAGGGCAGACAGGACAGAACGACGTACACAAACCAGTCCGACCGAACCTGACAAAAAAGAAACCAGTTAAATGACTGGATCATAATCTACCACAGTGTGGACTGTGACACAGCCATGGGCTAGTGAAAAAAGATCAAAATGTGCTCCATAATGATAAAGACTCAACAAAATTAAAAGAAAGAAAGAAAGATAAATCAAATAATTACTATTTTAATGTAAGGTCTGGCTCAAATGTGAACATCACAAATTATTTAAATTGCTTTTGGGTACCATGCAGCTTGTTTTACACCATAAACCATCTGCCTACCTGTGGCACATCTTCCTCCTGAGTAACACTGACAAAGTTTTCAAACATGGCCACCATAGAGGGAGCAGCAATCACGTGGCAGTTGACCAAATCAGACAGAAAACGCACCTAAAGAAAGAGATGTCATTATGTAAAATAAATACAAAGTGGCCATGTTAATTAGTTTAAAAGCAATCTGTAGGATTATTATAAAAGCCAGCATACCAAGTAAACAGCTTCACTGTACAAGTTGTTTTTTAACGTCTCCTTCAACTGCCTGATCATGGCCTCAACGAACTCGCCCCCAAAGTTGTAGTTCCTGGCGTTAAGGAGGCCGACTAAGGTCGTATACACGGTCAGCTTCTCGGGCAGGAGGCGGGCACTGTCAACAAATGACAACATATAATGACTGCCGCCACACAAAACACACTTGCAAAATTCATTAGAAATCAAAGGGTGAGAGGTGTGAACGTACACAGCACATAAAATGCGCAGAATTTTGCTTTTGTAGTTTGGGAGGTCTGCCTCTAAGACGCCAGCGAGGCCCTCCAGGTTGCTCTCGAGGGATGATGTGCTCTGTAAGGAAATATTTTCGCACAAGAGCAATTTGTCACTAGAAAGCAATTTAACACAAAGCAAAGAAGACCTAAAAAGAACATTCTGGCATTTACTTTTAGAAGCAAAGTTTTGCACTGAACTTGTGAGGCTCATCTCTCTAGAGTGGAAAATGAAGCTACTCATCCTGAAAATAAAAATGTGTCCTTCCTGTAGAGTCTCCTTACCTTTTCCCCAACACGACATATCAGTGACTCCAGACGGTCTTCGATCTCAATCGGCTCCGATGTTCTCCTCCTCTTATGGGCTTGACCTCCTGGAAAGGTGAAAGAGTAACACAATAATCAGAGCCAGAAGAGGCTCAACCAGCTCCTGTAGGAATTATCTGTCAGTTTCTCTTAGCTAGTGCACTCTTAAAAAGAGATTTTTAATCTCAATGAGTCTTTTCAAAGTTAGGATGATAAATTCTCCGCTGTGTTCATCAGTTACAATGTCATTTCACGTTCAGTGGTTTTCAGACAGCACAGGACTATGAATTAAACAATGGTCTGATAAAATAAAGCTATGTGAAGTTCAGAAAAGTACACTTACACTGTCATTTAAAGAATAAGAGCATTAACAAAACATGAATCCAGCAATTGAATTGAACATTTAAAGGGGACCAAATTTTACAATATTTTTTTCTTTATTTTCTGTTATTTATATAAAGGTTTATTAACACTGTTAATATATTAAAAGTAAGGATGTAGTCTCGAGTGGTTGTTCGTTATGTCTTATTAAACCAAATAGCACTGTATCAACAGCGTTCTCTTTCTGAGATTAATAAGTTATTTTCCTGGTGTCGCATGCAGACTGCCACACCTAACAGAAGTTCTATATTTGTCTTAACTGCACGGCGTAGGTACTTCAAACTAGCAAACTCCTTCAAAATCTGATGACTTAACCTGATGTGCACCTTCCTGGAAAAGAAACTACACATCGCACTACACAACTCATTAAAGGGCTTCAGCCCTAAATATATATCTGAGTTGTTTTATAGATACAAACCCTAAGGTTTGCAAGATCTGGTCACCTAATAGTGCTTGAATCTGAAACAAAACAGGCTA